CTGTCTGTACATTTTAGGCATGAATTTGGCAATATAAAGTATACGGTACACATGGCCCTCATTTGGCCACTTTGCATATTTACTCATATCTTTAAGGTGGGCCGTCATTTGGCTAGATCACATATCTATACATCGTAATTGGACCCTCATTAGGGTTGCATACATACAGTTGTAATTTCTGGGGAATGGACAGGTTCAATGTTTCTTGACTCAATTAACTTGGCCTACAATCGGCCCACAAGAATACAATACATATACTGTAGTTGTAATCAAAATTATTCAACCCCCATTAATAATCAGGTTTATTGTCAAAATTTACAGACTTTCAGCTGTTTGCAATGAACAAATCTAACAAAAGCAACAGCGTATGCTTGAAGTGGTTTCCCCAAATTCAATTGAAAATGCAACTTATAATGATCTCTCTAGTCTCAAAATTATTCAACCCCTTTCAATGCAGGTTGACTAATTTTGATTACAACTTAACATGTATAGCTTGAATGAAAGACGAGACAGGGGGGATATGATAGAAACATTTAAATATATAAAGGGAATCAACACAGTAAAGGAGGAGACTATATTTAAAAGAAGAAAAACTACCACAACAAGAGGACATATTTTTAAACCTTTGCCCCTCTAATTAAAGACTAATATCCAGAAGTATTACTTTACTGAGAGGGTAGTGGATGCATGGAATAGCCTTCCAGCTGAAGTGGTAGAGGTTAACACAGTGAAGGAGTTTAAGCATGCGTGGGAAAAAAGCATCCATCTATGCTAGATATTTAGAAAATTGGGCAGACCAGATTTAGTATGCGCCTTACTGTGCGCACATGCATGGTGGTCATATATCACAACCGACACTATAAAGTTCAATTTTCAGGACTTCTTCATATTCCAACCAACAATCAGGAAACAGATCATATCCCCAGCCTTTAAAGTCCACATAATGGACTAGCCCAATTACTGGTTATAGCAGGTTGCCAAAACAAGCTGGCCTATCAGCAAACACACAGAACAGGTAACAGAGCTCCAACTATTTTAACAGATTCATATCAGACTTTCAGATAACCGAATCTTATTATATCCAGATTACAGTGGCGTTGGTTTCTTTTTGCCACCTTAGTCTAAACTATCACATTATACTATAATTTTTACCTGACCGGCATTCAACATCATTTACCTAATATTGTCCTAATCACAGCCTAGTAAACATTCATAGGTCATATAATGACCAGACCATTCTTAACACTTAAACAACAACCTATGGCCAGGCCAAAAAGTCAGATATTAAACAGTATTCATTTGAACTCACACGAATACAGCAATTAAGGCAGCCATATACATGGCTTTTACGGTTTCTCAAACCATAAGAATTTACATAGTAACGTTATCAAATTCATCCAGTCACCCATCTATGAACTTATTATAAGCGAGGTTCATTTAAGTACTCATATTAAAACACATTAAATACCAATCAAATGGGCCCTTAGGTAGAATCCCCCTTTTTATTTCATCAAATATGGTGCCCAATATATCACTGGACCCCTTTACTGCTGCACAATATCAGCTTCCCAGGGAATACACCCCTTCTGTTTATGTACGCTATACCACTCGGCTAATTATCTTACATTATGATGCTTTTTATGAGACTCATCCCCTCCACATTTATAATACATTCTTTCAGTATCAGGGCAGCTTCAGTTGCTTCTAACATTGATATTCCAGTACTTCTAATTAAAGAATAGGACACTGGAAATCCTTAGCAAAATAGATACATAATGCAACCAGAAAATAAGCGTTCAAAATTTAGCTTGTAAGTTGTGTGTGTGTATATATATATATATATATATATATATATATATATATATATATATATATATTAGAGTGTAATATGGTATCCTTTTGCCATCTTTATTTTTGGCACACCTCAACAGACCTGTTTTATTATGGAAGGAGTTACCTGGTTATATAAACATACTCTACCACCTTATCAGGGCCATTTCTCGATTGATTCATTTCACCCACCGCTTCCCTCCCATCTTTCTCATATCACTCTTTTTAACTCTTTTTTCCCCCCCATCTGATGGTCATTTTGTTCTCACTTGATCTGTGAAAAATGGCAGTGTACTGCAAAATATACAGTTATATATACATACATACTTGCAGTATTCATGCCCTTTTTTAGCTAGTCCAAATAGTTTTCCCAAATATATTTCATGGATGATATTCGGGAAAAAAACAAAAACCTGTCAAATAAATGAGTGTTGGGAGGTCCCAAATCAAATTTAACTTTTTGGAAAAAAGTTGTTCAGCCGAACCAAATTCATCTGCAATGCACAAGCCAACTTCTCACCTTATCTACAACTTTCAGGACATGTCGTGATTAATGGAAACTATTTTATTTTTTGGACAGGAATAAAATCATGCAAAGTCAACACTTAATAAACCTCTGCACAATGGTGCGTTTAAAAGTATCTAAAAAGTAATATTTTCTGATGCAATAGTAGTTCCATCTTGGTACAGCAATGACAAGCAAAGCTTTTTCTTCAAGGCAAATACTTATGATGGCTACGAATTGAGCAGTGACATGTCAGAGGCAAGATCTACACACCAAAACTGCCTTACTAAGCTAACGTTGTTTTGGTGACTATAGTGTCCTTTAAGTCAGGAACAACGGCAGTTGTGTTTGTTTCAGCAGAAGAAGTGCACTCGTGTTCAACTTAGGCAAATCAACAGAGACGGTCAGCTCCTACTGTCATTTTAAGTTATAATCTACAAACTGACACCAATCATTCATCATTATTATTTATGGTTATTTATTGGGTGAGAAGCACAAAAACATTACACACCAAAACATTACTGGCATGTTAAACTTTACAAAGACCTATGCACCATCAGTTACTGCTTTATGTAGGTATATAAACGGCATGTAATGGAATGATGCACAAGGTATAAAAGCCATTACCTAATGTTAACGCCATGTTGGCTGCAGGCTACAAGTACAAAATAGCAGCTAGCTAAACCTGGTGGGAGTTGTAATAGAGAGCAGCCATACATTTATACAGTTTGGCGTAAAGGACTGGAAAAATCCTTCTGAAGGTCCTTTGTTTTAAAATAATCAGATTTGCCTGGGTTTGACATTATAAACTGCTGTGATTGAGGGCACAACAAAAATAAACATTATCACACAGATTTGTGGTTGGATAAGTCTATGGAAATGCATGTTTAGTGGTTATAGTTGAGTAGCCATTTTTATAGATTTCCCTGAGGATACAATAAAATAATTGTTGCAGTTATCCATTTGTTCGTTTTCTTGATGGGATTTATCTGTTTTTGATTTAAAGAACTTGCCCAAGGCTTTTCAGCAAAGCAATAAAGCTAATGTTTTATTTTACTGCCCATTTCGAATTCAAAATAAATTTGTATTCACATCATTTTGCAGTATAAAGGACGCCTTAAAGTATTTACACCAGTTTGGTCAGAACGGTGATGTATAATTTTGGCATTGAAGAGGGGTATATAATATGGCAGAGCATCATGGGAATTGTAGTGCAAATATCTGCACCATCAAGATTACTTGACAGCATTCCACATTTAATCCCATTTACTTTTTGGATTCTTGTCAAGCTTTTGACCTTTTAATTTCAGTTACAAAACAAAACCATCTAAACTTTGAAAAAGATTGTGATTTCAACATAAAAAGTATTGTGTGCTCTGTCTCTGTCCAGTTTTTGTCAAACTCGTGCTACTTTGTTTTAGTAACGTATCTCAGGGTTCTTGACCGTCTTGTGATCAGACCAATGGAAATGTCTAATAAACAGCGAACATGTTTCACAAGAGGTCACCAAGACTGAAAGTCATTTTAACAAAGAACAACTGTTGTCTTGTAGTACAATTTGTAGAGGAAATAGATTTTTGGGCAATTACTTTTAAGTTGTTCATAATGTCGTAAGGCAGCTGTGCCAAGAAAAACCAAGAGGTTGATAAAATGGTTTAGCAGGGCAGGTTTAAGGTCTGTGTCCAGATACAGATAACATTTCCCAGTCACCAAAGTTGTTTACATGGAACTGGAAGTCTATGGGGTGCCTGAAGAACAGCAAGTGGTTGTGTAGATTAGGAGATAAAGTGATTTTATCTCCTGTCCTGTCATGAACTCCTGCTACACAATATTTAAAAGGCATGCGGAGATAGATATGTTGGGATTGCATTATCCTGACAATTGTTTTGCCATTTGGGATAAACTTATATTCCTTTGTGTTTGAGCAGCCTGTATTCCGAGCAATCGTACCTTTTTAAAGAGTAGCATTGGCCAAATCCCTCTATAACCTCGGCAATTCCTGGCATGAGGTTGGCTCTTAAAAAGCGTTAAAAAGTAATTAAGCAAGCCTCTTCACTTATACACCATGTGCCTGAACTCCGTGTATACAAACCACACTCACACTTCAAACCCATTCTCTTATCAAATGACCCCAAAACTCCACATCCTCATATCGCACTCAAATTGTTGATGTGACCTCTTCATCAATATGTATAACCTAGGATGTTTGTGCAATACTGAAACCTTTTCTTTAGGGTAAATACAGGCGTCTAATCATTGACAGTAATCATCAGAAAACATTTTAACCAAAGACATTTTATTTAGACCAACAAAAATAATGAGGCTTGCCACTTGAGAATTCAGTTTCTTAGTTATTTTTAAAACAAATAATTGAACATTAATGGGTGAAAACCCCCCCCAAAAAACTGGTATCTCACGCCATATTTATTAAGTCAAAGGTGGGGGAGTTTTACTAAAAAGAGCTTAAATTGGAAAAATCGCCATGGAAACCAATATAAAGATTCCGCAGACTAACACAGAGTGTAAAATTTCTCCAGATTTACATTGATAAATATGGTAATTTGGTAGGAAACAGTCAATCTTCTCTCAATTACTAAATAATGAGAAAATGAGTCCTGCACATTATGATGAAGGACAAATAATGATCAAAAGGCTTCAGGAAACTCTATGGTGCAGTCTTTGTCTGTGGATTGACTGCATCAAAGGTCTTTACATTAAGGGATGATGGTTTATTGGTGAACGGGTGCCACTGGCCCTGAATACTCGGGTTGTCTGTATGGTAGGGTTTGCGTATCCGGATGATGTCTAGACCAGACTGGTTGGCCAGTTTCTGCACAAGTTGAAAAATGTCATCTGCAGTTTTGCGGTTAAGGGGTTCTTCTCTCACTGTTCCATTCACTAAAGAAAAAATGAAAAAAAAAAAATGAAGCTTGTTTATATAAGAAACACTGCTACACGAAAAGGAACTTATCCACTGCTACCTAAAAATACATTTAAGTCATATTCCCCAAAATTCCCTTCAGATGGCACTGGTCTTGAAACTTTTCGATGGTAGTGTCAAGCGTAGAAAAAAAAAAATACATGAGACAAAGTAGTCCATATTTTGTCTTATGTTTTTGGTAAGAAGTAGAAGAAACTATACTATACATGCCTATTTATTAATCTTCAAAATATCACCCCATCCTCTCTTTTTATAGTAGATCTCACCAGTTCATTTGACTTTACTACACATTAATCCCACCATCTTTTTCCATTAAATTAGTGTATCATTGATGCATGGCTTCCTATAACCATGTAAACATGCCTCGCTTACACTACTGTACATCTGGTCTCTCACACACCCACAGCTTGCATCACGTATGACCAGGAATATGAAAGAAACGCAAGTGATTGTAGATCTGAATTTTTTTTTTATCTACTACGTGAGGGTTTGTGTATAGCCAACATGCAACATCATTTACTCAGAATTGCAAAACAGTATTCATAGATTATATGGGTTAAAACAAATATTGCCTTAGTTATTTTCTTAGAAAAATCAATATAACCTTTTAGACAACTTATCTCTTCTATGTTTAGACTGCAGTGTCAATAAAATAGTTTTCAACCTCAAACAGCCTTCGAAAACAGCTAGTTTCTCTTGTAGTTCAATATATGTTCAGCTTGATTTGCAATAACAAAATCATTTCAGATTCCTTGCTTGACAAGACAGCAACGCTATAAGTTCTATTCAAACCAGACTGAAATGGCCACTGTGCATGGCAATATCTGGTGGTTACCCAGTTATCGATGCCAATTTTAGACCAGTTCCACTAATTCACTAAAGCTTGATAGTTGCCTCTTGTAGGCTGCCATGCCATCTTCCATTGCATGCGCATGGAATGCTGAACCAAGCAACAACTGAGAAACTCACAAACATCTCAGTCATCGCAAGCTGATCTTGAGTAAAGTTAAAGTATAACAAAATCAAGAGAGTGAAATCGACAGAGCAATAGGGAATATTCTCAGCACTTACTACGTAACTTAGTAACATGAGAATGAAGACAAGTGCTAATACATGTTTTAGGAACGAATGTCCCACCAACTGATACATTTCACCCAAAGAGAAAATTAAACAAACAACTCAAACAGCAGCATAATACAACCGGAGATCCACATCATCCATTTATTTCTAATTATGTTAGTTTCTTGTAACAATTATGTTTAGTGAAGAAAAACATTACAGCACAAAATATGCTTTTCTGTAAGATCTATACTCTTCGCAATTTTTAAACTTTTTTTTTTTTAAAGGCTACAATTTGACACCTAGCTCTACGAATCCGATAAAAAAATAAAAATCTTTTTACAGGTTTCAATCAAACACTGCTTTGTGTTTGCCTTTGATATTTCATGAAACATTAGAAAAACCAACCTATCCACAACACTTCCACAATTACAGTAACAGCTGGGTAAAACTCTAGTCACTTTGACAGCCATTGGCATAAACAAAAATGTAGCCAATCCTGTTTTACTCTTATTTATATGGCAAATTCTAAGGATTACGGTCTATAACAAACCTTGACAAACCAAAGCAGATACCTCTTCTGTAAATGATTACATTTCAGCCACCCATCAAATAGCAGGAGATCAGCAATGTACTCCTGCTGTACCTGACCACACCAGTCAGATCTTGAAGGAAACGGTGCTACAAAAATGACATCTATTTGAATAAAATAGCTAATAAAAGATATTTTGAAAATGGGTATGCTAGACTATAATAAGGAATATGCAGACCAAAGCCACAAATCCCACCGAAATGACTTTACAGGGTAATGAAAATAACTGTTCGTCAATCCATAGCTGGGATCCCCAATTTGGGTTAATCAACGTTTAACTATGCCTCTCAGAATTGTCTTCCCATTGTTGGTTGGAACAAAATAATATAGTTTTGTAGAGTAGAAGAAAACAAGTAAGAGTTTTATTTTACATTTAACTGCTAATTTGACTACGAACATTCAAAATTCAAGTTCTCCAAAACTGCTGGATATCCATCCTTTTTGTTCTTCTACAAACAGATAAATAGCTAGGAGCCGTTCATTACGAGTACACAGAGGATTTATGTGGCTTGGGCATTTACAGGTCGCACATCATCAGCTAGCAAGAACTAGGATCAATTCATAAAAGGACTTGGCTTCTTTCTATAGCTCTATGTTCTCCCTCCACTACAAAACTAATATGCTCTTCTACTTAACCCCTTAAGGACACATGACGTAAATATTCCGTCATGATTCCCTTTTATTTCTGAAATTGTGTCCTGAAGGGGTTAATGTTTTTCTTTCATGTTCCAACTCTGTTTTAGGTTCTCTACAACCCACTGGTCAACTAACTGTCCCACATTTACACTGCACTTATCCCTCTGCTTTACTCCCAAACATGATTATCTTTCATCAAATCCCACAATCCATCATCGTTGGCATCTTATATAGATTATATAAGATGTCAAAATCCTAGAGTATTGCAGTATGCAATGATACCTTTTTTTATTGAACATAATATTTCCTCTCGTCCTCAGAAATATTATATTAGTCCAATAAAAAAGGTAAATAAAAAAAGGTATCATTGCATACTGCAATACTCTGGTATTTTGGCATATACACACACACACACACACACACACATACAAACGCCAAATAATTATTCAGCAAACCAACAGTGCCATCGTTAGATGTAAATAACTGCTAATAAAAATAAAATAAACACACCGGAGGAGAGAGAGTCTCCCAGGAACACGTAGTCTACAGCAGGGATACGCATCTTACAGTTGTACATGATGGCATTACATCCTCACCATGCTCTGTCAGCCGTTGGATTAATGATGGGGGTGGGGTGACAGAGGAAATACATTTGTTTATCTGATACTGTAATATATTCGCAGATGGCGTCCTACTTGTCACAGTTAATGCAAAAATAAGAACATACTAAAAGGTAAAGCCACTAAATAGGTCTAAATTTATATAAAGAATTCTCAAATCTAAATGTAAACGGGTCACATTGCGACCTCGCTCTCAGTACCTGGTTATCGCCTCTGTTGGTTAGCTTGGGGACGTTTAGCATCAACAAATTCCGTTTGACCTTAATGTGTTAGTGTTTTTACTTAATAGTAATGGTCAGAAATAAACAGGTCTATCATACATGGGTATAAAACACAGTGACAGTGTCAGATTTGTTTAATATGACCCCAAGGACTCCTTATTTCTTATAATATACCAAACATTTATGTTTTCATACTATTAAGAACAATTCTCAGGCCAGATCTTAAAACGAATGGAACCCCAATGTGATTAGCAAGACACAGCTTGAAATCTTTGATAAATGTTTAAACAGCACCACCTGGTGGTGGCTTAAGCTTACATCACATTAAGTACTCATGATATAATAATAGAGTTACAGTGTACATGTCACAGTACACACAAATTGTTATTCACCACACCAATCAATTATTGGCATAGCCCTCGATGCAGAGATGTGAGAGACAGGCAGAGCAGGAAAACCATCATATGTGGTTCCTCTGCTTTAAGTTTCTGTAATTACATGAGCTATAATTCTGTACTTAATACGCTAGTGCAGTGGTTACCAACCAGTTTTCACTTGAGTACCCCTTGGCAGCCCATTTCCATAAATTGTACCACTCCCATCAACAAAATGTTTGTAATTAATATAGTTGCATTTATTTCAAATGTATAAGTTTTTCTCTGTTCCATAACCCCTTTTTCTCTGCTCTAGGCTCTCCCTGCTTCTCCTCTGCCCCAGACACACACACCTGCAGATACACAGATGCAAACACTGGCACACATGCAGATATACACACAGACAGGTACAGATGTACAAACACAATGATACACAAACATACAGATAAAACCACTTACATACACAAAAACATACATACAGATACAAACACTGGCACACAAGCAGATACAGTGAAACAGATACATACTCTGACAGATACAGACATACAGATACAGTATGTATCTGTATGTCAGTGTGGGTATCTGTGTCATTGTGTATATATATATATATATATATGTGTGTGTGTGTGTCAAGGTGTGTATCTGTGTTTCAGGGTGTGTCAGGGAATGTATCCTGAAGTGTGTCAGTCTCTCTCTATAATATATATATATCTGCATGTTTGTCAGTATATGTATCTGTGTGTCTGTGTAAATGCATGTCTGTGTGTGTGTGTATCTGCATGTGTGTCAGGGTGTGTATCTAACACAGATGCATATACACACACACTTACACACAGATATAGACCCTGACACACACACAGATACAGACACTTATCCTGACACACAAATACAGGTGATACTCAAAAAATTAGAATATTGTGCAAAAGTTCATTTATTTCAGTAATGCAACGTAAAAAGGGAAAACTAATATATGAGATAGACGCATTACATGCAAAGCAAGATAGTTCAAGCGTGATTTGTCATAAGTGCGATGATTATGGCTTACAGCTCATGAAAAACCCAAATCCACAATCTCAGTAAATTAGAATATTACATGCAATCAATAAAACAAGGAGTGTACATAGAATATCTGACCTCTGAAAAGTATAAGCATGCATATGGACTCAGTTCTTTGTTTGGGCCCCTTTTGCAGCAGTTAGCTTCCACGCCATGCCGCATTGAGGCAGTATCAGCCTGTGGCACTGTTGAGGTGTTATGGAAGACCAGGATGCTTCAATAACGGCCTTCAGCTCTTCTGCAATGTTCGGTCTCATGTCTCATCTTTCTCTTGACAACGCCCCATAGATTCTCTATGGGGTTCAGGTCAGGCGAGTTTGCTGGCCAATCAAGCACAGTAATCCCACAGTCATTGAACCAGGCTTTGGTGCTTTTGGCAGGTGCCAAGTCCTGCTGGAAAATGAAGTCAGCATCCCCATAAAGCTCGTCTGCGGAAGGAAGCATGAAGTGCCCCAAAGTCTCCTGGTAGACGACTGCGTTGACCCTAGACTTAGTGAAGCACAGTGGACCAACACCAGCAGATGACATGGCTCCCAAAATAAACACAGACTTTGGAACCTTCACACTGGACTTCAAGCATCTTGCAGTGTGTGCCTCTCCATTCTTCCTCCAGACTCTGGGTCCTTGGTTTCCAAATGAGATGCAAAAGTTGCTCTCATCAGAAAAGAGGACTTTGGACCACTGAGCAACAGACCAGGTCTGGTTTTTTTTAGCCCCGGTAATGACGGTTCTGACGTTTGTTGTTCAGGAGCGGCTTGACAAGAGGAATACGACATCTGAAGCCCATGTCCAGGATCTGACTGTATGGTGGCTCTTGATGCACTGACTTCAGCCTCAGTCCACTCCTTGTGAAAGTCCCCAACAGTTTTGAACGGCCTTTTCCTGACAATCCTCTCCAGGCTGCGGTCATCCTTGCTTCTTGTGCACCTTTTTCTTCCACACTTTTCCCTTCCACATAACTTTCTATTAGTGTGCTTTGATACAGCACTTTGGAAACATCCAACTTTCTTTGCAATTACCTTTTGAGGCTTTCCCTCCTTATGGAGGGTGTCAATGATGGTTTTCTGCACAACTGTCAGGTCAGCAGTCTTCCCCATGATTGTGATTCCTATTGAACCAGACTGAGAGACCATTTATAGGCTCAGAAACCCGTTGCAGGTTTTATGGCTTACTTAGCTGATTAGAGTGGGACACTATGAGCCTAGAATATTGCACCTTTTCACAATATTCTAATTTACTGATATTGTGGATTTGGGGTTTTCATGAGCTGTAAGCCATAATCAATCAAAAAAAAAAAAATCCCCCTTTAACCTAGATAACAGTATCAACAATTTGCATTGTGATTACTTCAAGTCCTTATATTACACCTTTATATAAAATTAGTCGGTCTGTGAAAAAAAAAAAAAATCCTATTCCCTTTTACATAGATAACGATATAGACATTTTACATTGTGGTTACTTCAATTCCTTGTAGAACATCTTTATATATTAATAGAATCAAACTGTGCCAAAAAAATAACAACCAAAAAAACAGAATAACCTAATCCTTTTATTTTAAAACCAGGTAACATACAAACAATTTACATTATACCCAATTCCACTATTTAAATTACACCACTTTGATAAGTGTCTTCGCTCTATGTCCATGAAAGAAGATTCTAACACAGATAACAAAATCAACAATTTCTTATATTTAAATAAGTACTTTAATTTTCCTCAAAATTAACATGTTAAGTGATCTTATCTATGTGAACTCTTTACCAATATAGATGTGTGGCATGATACCTAAATTATTTATATAAAGATTAAAAAATAACTCAACCTGTGCAAACTCCCCTTTTGCATTTTTCCTCTTCTCTTTTTAGGAATTGTTTTATGTAAAAAAAATTAAAAAAAATAAAATAAAAAACTAAAAAAGATTTTTATATCTTATGTCAAATGATGCCGTCAATCCTCACTTATTCAGCCTATTAGTCCACCCAACCACAACACTCAATTCTGCATATGGACCGCCTCTAGCCAGATCCTGGCTGAATCTAAATTGTCAAACACCAGGGTTTTTGCTTCATGAATTATTATGAGTTTCGCTGGAAAAGCCCAAAAATGTTGGACATTTTTTCTTAAGGTCTCCATTACTCGTGCAAAGAGGCGTCTTTTCTTCCTCGTTTCATAGGATACGTCTGGAAGGACTTTGATATTCAGGTGCTTTTCTTTCTTACTACCTTGCTTTGATGCCTTTCTTAGTTCTCTGAATAAGTAAGAATTGCAGCATATCAGAATGTCTCTTGGGGTTTCCGTTGAGGTTTTTTGGCTTTGAAATTCTGTGACATCTTTCTAGGAAATTTATGTTTCTCATCCTTCTGGATACCCAGCTCCAAAAAGTAAGATTCCAAAAAATCCTTAATTTTTTCTTGTGTAATACTTTCCGGAATATTCCTTAATCTCAGATTATTTTGCCTTGATCTATCTTCAAAGTTACTTATCTTTATTTCTAGCTCTTGAATCTTCTGTTGTAATTTACCTTGCTGCTGCTGCTGCTGTTGATTTTTAATTATAGAGTCAGTGAGATCCAGTTTTCTTTCAACTTGATTAATCCTCTGGCCAATCTCTTTAATATCTTTTTTTAAGTCGGCGTTATTGTTATAAATTTCTTGTTTTATTGATAGGAGTTGCTGATCTAAACAACTTTTTAGAAACTGGTGAAACCTGTGAGTTTTCAATTTGTGATGTTTCTAATTGAACTGTTTTTTTTCCCCTCATCTGTTGTCAGGTTAATTTCCTTTGCAGACATTTCTGACAAGGATTTATCCGTTTGAGGTATGAAAAAAATTTAGCGAGTTTTTTTTCTGTTTTGGTATCTTTTCTTTCAGTCCTCTCCTTGTGCTCTTTGTCTTTATTGAGAGTCGATTTATGTTCTTGATTTCTTCTGGTTGACATATTTTTATTAATACCACACAGGATGGATTTTAAATCTTCTTTAATAATTTCAAAACTTGTCAGCTCATTTCCTTAACTAGGCTGTTCAATTAATCAAGCCATCCTCCTGCATCTTTAATTTGTATGTCACGTTCCTCCCTTAGTTAATTAGATTTACTTCTTTATATAGCGGTACGTTTATGAATATACTTTTTATAGGGCTATGCATTCAGAGATGCGGTTTTAAAACACTTTATAATATATCTGGCATTGCAGTTTGCTTTTTAAATTTCCAACAGCAGCAGTAAACACATCAGAAAGGGTCAATCGCTGTTCTATTTTTTCTGAATCAGTTTCTTATCCCCCTTCACATGTATTATATAATCTTTCTGTATCTGTAGGAACAGAGGGTATAATTCAAAAACTCTCTCTTTAATCACCTGTGATCCATTTTACAGTACATATCATTTAAAGCTATTTGTCTAACGTTTAGCAGATCCAAGGGGGCCCTGAGAGGGTAAGGAGATAATTCAAAATATTTTGCTCACTTGTTTAGTATGAATAGTACCAGATATAGAGAATTCTCACCCAACTTCCATAGATCACAACCACCCGCTATGCACGTGTCTTTAGAGAGTCACTTATATCCACCTTAACTCCATCGCTTATTTTTCCTGTTCTCCAACACAACCTTTTTCCTTCAGAGCATGATAGTTTTACTCCTTCCCAAGTTTGCGGCTCAATTGAAGAGAGAGTTATAGCCAGACTGGGTCTATCTTATCGCCGTTTTCCACCGTTATTTCTGCTTTCCTAGCATGTCGTTCTCCTGCTTGGTGCTAAAACTCCGGCATTCGCTCCACTCTCGACAGGCTTCACCTCCTCCGCCCACGTACGTAGCGTGCACACGCCCTACGTCATCCCCCCGAGGCAAGATAATTTCTCATTGCCTACTTTTTAGGATCATGGTACCCTGTAAATATATTTTTATTACCATTTAAAAAAATAAATAAATAAAAAAGCATAAAAAAACAGTATGTCCCCCTTTTCCTCAAGGAGGGGGGACATTGCCCTGGTGGTCCGGTGGAGGTGAGCAGCACTATCTTGCCTGCAGCTCCTCTAACTACAGGCAGAGTTGAGTCCTCCCACGAGATCCTGGGAGCATTGCCGTGGTAACCAATGGCAACGCTCCAAATTGCCAAACTCGCGGACGGACCTTTCCGCCTCCTCCTTTTTAAATGATATAATGATGGTTTTTAGCTCTCAAATTTTATGATGTTTAATTTATCAAATTCTTTTTTAATATGAATTTCTTATATTTGTGAGGTTTTTAAAAAAAAAATAAAAAAAAAAATGCAATTTTACAAGTTACACATTGTACACAAGGCAATCAAAACAAAAAAAAAATTGTATCAATGTACAGCTCTTCCACGTCGATAAGGAAACAATATTATACATTTCGTATTCTATAAGAAAAAGAAACATTAACAGTGAATAGTTATTAAGAAGTAAATTACCAATTAAGATTAATAAAGGGTGGTGAGGGGGGTTTAGAAGAGTCTGGTAGTCTCTGTTGAGTTGCTGTCGGGTGCTTATGGATGTGATTTTAGTGGTAATAGCAGTAGTCTCTGACAGAGGTCAAGGAGAGCTCACCAAGTTCTGAAGATCTGGGGGGAGGGAACAGTCTGTTGGATATACGGAAGCGTCCAATGTTGGCCATATCAGGTTATCCCCAGCTTCTTATTTAATGCATATTTCAGGGGGTCCCAGAGTTGAGGATTGGTGGTGGAAGAGGTGGCGAAGTCTCTAGGCAGGTTACTCTTAATTTGCTGCAGGGATGCCTGCCTTGCACGGTGTGTTATGGAGTATAAACGAGACTATACAGTAGGTAGTATGTAGTACAGCTTTAAATTATACCTTGACCACTGTCCCAGAAGTAGCCTGATCCAGTCTAGGCTGTGGGCCTCTTTCCCATGCGCACGGTTGTCTGTGCTGGAGTTTTCGTTGAGATAGTTTTATAATTCTCATCCCACTCTTTTCAGGCTTCTCTCCAGAACCCTGTTTAGAATTATGGAACTGGCCATTGTTTCATAGCTTTTTGTGGTGTTTATTAATTGAATACAGGTTTCCAAGTATGGTGCAATTGGTTGATTTTTGGGGATCTATTGGTTTGAGTCCAGTAGGCACGAGGTACCAGCGATAAAGGATTTTTCTCAACAAGTCAGTGTGTGACGAACATAGAGTGAGTTTTGTTTGTGCGCTTTAAAAATACATGACCACTGTTCGTCTGTCAATTGCTTTTGGATATCTTTTTCCCTCTCTAGCACAAAGGGCATTTGGCGAATATCATTTTGAGGGTATTCGTTAAGGTATATCTGTGATATTAATTTTTGTGGTCTTGGATATTGTGTGCAGAAGCTCTACAGCCCTGACATCCACTGCCCATTTACAAGCCGTGGGGCCCACATCCTTGTTCTTCCCATCCATGATCTGATTTGCATACATGTGAACCTGGCTGTGTGGGGGAGATTATAAGAGGTCTGCAGGGACTCAAAGGGGATGCGGTTGTGATCTTCTATGATTTGGTGTAGATGTGTTAGACCGTGCCTCATGAGAGCTCCCACATTCAGGTGTGGTATTAGTGTGGAAAAGCAGTGTATCAACATTGTCAGCAAGAGAGTAGCATGTATGCAGTGTGCTAGTCTATATTTGTCCCACATGTTCTATGAAAGGGATATTGTGGTATTTTTTCCTATGATTGGTTAGGACCCAGGCCAAGGATGTGATTATCATGCCCCTCTGTGTCTGCCGCTTCTATTTGTAGCCAAGAAGGTGGCATATCGTGTTGGTGGAAGGCCATTATTAGTGGGCTAATAAGTGATGCTCTGTAATATGTGGTTAAATTTGGGAGTCCCACGCCACCTTGCTTAAATGGTTGGTACATGAGGTTGGCCCCTGTCTTTGTTTTTGTTTGTTTTTTATTATCCCATACAAATTTGTACAATGTTGTTTGTGCCTCCTTAAAGTACTGCTTTGTGAGTTTTATAGGTAAGGTGCGGAAGAGGTATTGGAATTTGGGGAGAATCAGCATTTTGATTGCGGCTATTCTGCCCACCAACGATAAGAATTTACCTTTCCATCCCATTAGTTGGTTCGTTATATTGTTGAACACCTTGACATAGTTCGACTGGTATAGTTTTTGCGCTTGTCGTAAACGCTACTCCTAGAAACGTAAGATAGTCCTGTCTCCATTCATGTGTATGTCTGCTGTAATTTATGTGAAAGAGACTTGGACGTATTAATACAAAGCACTTGTGTTTTAGCTGTGTTGAGTTTATAATAGGAGCAGGCACTGTATCACTGTAGGAATTTTTCTGGCTGGAATAGAAGTTTCCGGCTTAATAAAGGAGAACATTACGTCATCCACAAGCATAATAATTTTATATTCTGTCCCTCCCATCTGGATCCCATGTATTGAAGTGCTGTCCCGTATCGCTTGTGCCAGGGGTACCAGTGCTAGAATATAAAGCATGGCAGATAATGAACACCACCGGCGTGTGCTGTTCGATATTTGGAATGTAGAGGAAACAAATCCACTATTCACAACTTTTGCCACAGGCTTTGAGTAGAGTGCGGAGATTAGTGACAAAAATTGTGGGGGAAGTTGAATTTTGGCAGCACAGCCTTGAGGAAGCACCAATGCAGTCTATCGAATGCTTTCTCTGCATCTAATGAGAGAAAGACCCTGGGCTCCCCGAGGCCCGCTGTCGGTAGAGCAGGCTTAACAGTTTTCTAATCCCATCCGCTCCGTCTACCTGCCACAAAACCGACTTGATCGGAATTGATTATAGATGGGATTAGATCAGATACTCTGTTGGCATATATTTTCGCAAATTTTTGTGTCTGTATTTAAAAGTGATATTGGGCGTAAGTTTTGTGGTTTTCCTGGTTTGGGAAGTGTGGCAATGTGTGAGAGTATCATGTCTGTTGGCATGTCTCCAGATTCTATTATGTGGTTAAAGGTTGTCACTAGTTGTGGACCTAAAACTGGAAGGAAAATTTTATAATCATTCGTGAAGCCATTTGGACCAGGTGATTTACCCAAAAAGTAGAGCATGTATGGTTTGTGTCAGCTCTTGTAGGGTAACTGGTGTAAGTAAGATGTCCGTTGCGATGATGTCAGGGTGGGCAGCTTGACATGTGCGAGGAATTGTATTTCAGTATGTTTAGGTGTTTGTAAAGTGTCCCATGGGCAAAATACTTGCTGAGAACCAACACTCAGTGCCATAGCAAGGTATTTGCTTCAGATGGCGTCCTAAATGCTCAGATTAGAGTGGATTGCGACCCCATGTGCCAGAGCTAGGATTCAGACATCCATCTTGCTCTGCGGTTAGCCCCCATATTTGTAAATTAGATCATTTTCTCCCATCTTTTTTGAATTTTAGGTATTTATATTTTATATACTATGTAGGTGTGATATATGTAATAAAGATGGTTTAATAATTGTTCTTTTGTTTGATGTGCATAAATGTACAGTTGCACAACAGACTCCTAATGCAGATAAAACAACTTTAGCCTTTCATGATCACCATTAAATGGACTTCCTCCCAATTGAAAAATGACAGCCGCAACCTTACGGAAGTGAATTACATGATCACATGACGACATTAGGTCTCTAACACCACCTTGACGTCGACACACGAAAGATCGATGAGTAGGAAGAGCTACATAGTGCCGGAATGGCGCAAAAATGAAAAAAAAAAAAAAGCTAAATCAACGCCGCCTCTACAAGAGAGCCGAAAACCAACACGGCACAGGGAAATATACCTTAGAGCCAGACCCGGAGAGACAGAGGACCTGACCATCAACCAACCTGTAACCCACAGAATGGTGACGCACACCCAGGCGGAATCCAGGAAACGGTATGGGGCACGGAACTGGCGAGACACCATAGTCACGCATCTGAACATATCTGCCCATATACTGCTCAAGCCATACACAGGGCACGGAGAACTCATACAGCATCAGGTCGCTGACCTCCCGGTAAGGGGCATTGGCTGAAGGAGCCGACGGCACTACAGGAGACTTCCCCCAGCCATACCCAATTCTTTGAACTGCCCGATTTATATGGTCTTTTTGATTTGCTTTCTCATATGTTTTATACACAACTCGACTAATGACCAGATAGGTCGACATAGGACCGCTCCCAGGCACATAACACAGCACAACATACCTGACTACAGTTTAGAAACCACACACACACACACCGCACCAGCCATGCATTAGTACTGCTACCAACTTATCACAACGACACAGTGACATTGACACCCCAATCATCACATAGCGACACTGTGCGCCCCTCCCAGCCGCACACACTGCTCAAACCCAGAAGCGGCAACTAAGCGACATATGCCCCCACAATAGCACAGTCAGATGACAAACCTAACAACCGCATCAGCCCACACACTGACTACCAACACACTATTGTTAATCGTTTTTTCTTAAAAACATAAAAATGTGCATTGTTTATCACGCCTTAACACTGTTTTAACATGTTACCTGGAACGCTAACAGCTGCTGTTGGGGCACTGTGAGCAATTTTGTACAGTTTTACATCTGCATCAAAAATAGAATAAAAAAAAAATAAATAAAAAAAAATAAAATGTATATATCCATCCAACTTACTTACGATAAGGCTTTAGGTTTGAACCAAATTGGACTGAGAAAATTCGAACTGTGTCTTTAGTAGTAATGCCAAAAGGTGCCGAATTCCAGCTGAATTTAAACCTAACGAAGTTGAATAGGAGACTAAATTTGTTTGAAATACAACCACACTGAATCTTACACGAACGCCGTTGAATTTCAAACTAAGTTGAAACTCCCCTGAGGTAAGAGGGCAATTCCATCAACCAGATAAGCCTTCGGTTTTGCAAATGCCGAGAAGGCCCAACGCCAAAGAATGGCTTTTTCAGTGACAGCAAACCGCAGGAAACTCAGTATTTGAAATGACTGAATACTGGAACTGGAAGTGATGTGCTGAGCTGATCCCGATAAGGTTATGAGCTAAAGGTGAGTACTTTAAATAGCTAAAGCTAAGCCCACCCTCAACTCAGTGCTCCAAAGCACAAAAAGCCTGTTAAATAAAATACCTTGTGTGCCACAGACATTTTGTACTGTGGCTGCTATTTAATGGCAAATGGTATGATTGCTATAAATACATCATATTTTAACAACTGTCAAGAAAAATATAAAGTAAAAAATAAATGCAGTATGTAACTGGATCTGTACATAAAAAAAGAAAAGAAAACAGTCAAAAACTAATTAGTAATTCATGACATAATGTGGTGACAAGAGCAGCTTCACTTATTTTTATATGTTGCTGGATAAATCACAAGCATGTGTACGAATTAAACAATACATATAGGTAAGATGCACACATTTCACATAATAGGGTTTTTCAATAAACAGTAAATGGGAAATTTAGCTAGTCTGGCAATTTTAGCCTGAATGTTTCTAGGCACAGTGAGTGGCATAGTTGTGGTTGGTACAACTACGCTGATTGCATAATGTGTGAACATTAAACAATTTTAGTATTATAATTTGCAAGTAAGGTGCCATATGATGTGCAAAAAAATAAATAACGCTTTCAGATTTGAATTCTGCTACTCACAATATTCGGCCACCAGTTTAGGAACTCTGCATTGCTTTGGACTGACATAGAGCACCACCCCAGGGTTCTGTTTGGCAAAATCTACCGCTTTTTCTTCAATAAACTCTCTAAAAGAGAATGCAAACGAAACAGAACAACAACATGATGTAAAAAACATTTCAGCCCAACACTTCCACAATTGATACACAGATAAGCAGGCTCACATATGATGTAAAAAAAAAAAAAAAGAAAATCTAAGAATATTACCTGGCTCTCCCCCCACCCCCGTGGTGTTACCCTGGCTGCTCCCCGTGGTGTTACCTGGCTGCTCCCCGGTGTTACCTGGCTGCTCCCCGTGTTACCTGGCTTTGCTGGCTCCCCGTGGTGTTACCTGGCTGCTCCCCCGTGGTGTTACCTGGCTCCCCCGTGCTGCTCCCGTGGTGTTACCTGGCCGTGGTGTTACCCCCGTGGTGTTACCTGGCTCCCCATACCTCCCCGGTGTTACCTGCCCCCCCATTCCCCGTGGTGTTACCTGGTGGTGTTACCTGCCCCCCTCCCCGGTTGTTCCCCCTCCCCAGGTTGTTACCTGGCCCCCCGTGGTGTACCTGCCCCCCATTCCCCCAGCCCCCCTGGTTGTTACCTGCCCTCCCCCGGGTTGTTACCCCCCGTGGTGTTACCCCCCCCCCCTGGGTTACCTGTTGAGTTGCCCCCATCCCCAGGTTGTTACCTGGCTCCCCCTGGTGCCTGCCCCTGGCTGTGTTACCTGCCCCCCCCTCCCGGTGTTTGTTACCCCTCCCCAGGTTTTACTCCCCAGTTCCCCCCCGTGGTGTTACCCCCCCCATGGCACCTGCTTTTCCCCGTGGTGTTACCCTGCCCCCCTGGCGGTGTTACCCCCCCTCCCCGTGCTGTTGCCTGGCCCCCCATATTACCTGGCTCCCCGGGTTGTTGCCCCCCCTCCCCGTGCTGACACCCCCCCATGTGCCAGGCTCCCCGGGTTGTTCCCCCGTGCTGTTACCTGCCCCATATTACCTGCTCCCGGGGTTTGTTACCTGGCCCCCCATATTACCTGCTCCCCAGGTCGTTACCTGGCCCCTGGCGGTGCCAGCTCCCCCCGGGTTACCTGCTCCCCCCGTTGTTACCTGGCCCCCGGGTTGTTACCTGGCCCCCCATAGTTACCCCCCCGTTTGTTAGGTTGTTACCTACCTGCCCCATACCTCCCCCATTCCCCATTCCCCCCGTGGTGTTACCTGGCCCCCCTGGCGGTCTGGGCGTCCTTGCTGAAGGTGATTGAGAGCCGTTTCAGTTGCCCCACATAGCGGCCCAGCCCGTTGCGGAGGACGCTCTGCAGGAAGCGGTTGGCGGTGCCCCGGGAGGTCATGGTCAGCGCTGTCACTGAGGGTCACCGCGCGCTCTGCCGCCTCACCCGGAAACACTCCGTCTCCAGGCAACCGCGCGGCCGCCATCTTAGCTGCGGGCAGAGCTCTCTCTCTCTCTCTCTCTCGCTCTGTGTGTGAATATCGCAATATATCGGAGTATATCGCACCTCGGCGGGCAGGGCAGGGCAGGGCTGGGCTGAACGCGGGTTGGGGAATTCTGACGCAGTTTGAGGTGACAGTTGGAGTCACGTGACAGAATCTCCCGAGCTACTTTGCGGTGTTTTTGTTCCGGCGGAAGTGACGTAGAGCGCAGGGTGTCATGGTGGCGCCCTGTCAGCACGTGTCACACACCGGTCACACACACTGCCCGCCATTACCGCCTGAGACACCATCACCACTGACAGACAGACACCATCACCACTGACAGCCAGACAGACACCATCACCACTGACTGGGAACCATCACCACTGACAGCCAGACACCATCACCACTGACAGCCAGACACCATCACCACTGACTGGGAACCCTCCCTGCACACTCTGCATGGAGACCAGCTCTTAGTGATCCTGATGGGGCTACCTGTGAGACCCCTGCTCTCCTTTCTGGCTGAGATCTCCAGGAGGACCCGGGGCCCGTGCCTGTCACTGATTGTCCCTGCCAGGACTTACAGACTGCTCCCCTGCCTCCGCAAGCAGTCTGGGCCTCAGTATGCCAGCATGGACAGTGTCGTTAAAGCCCAACAGAGGAGCTTTAAGAAGGGTCTTTTGTCCACCCTGGATACAACTTTAAGTCCTGTCACTGTGACAGAAATCCGCCATTATTTAAGGACAAACAACATTTCTTTCCACGATGGTTACAGCTGCATCCATGTGCCCAGCCCTTTCTCTCTTAATCCAGAAAACTGTCTTTTTATTGATAAGACAACCGGGCGCTTCTTGTGTAAAGACACGTTACTGGAAGGTTCCTGGCAGGACTACCAGGATAGCTTAGCCCTAATACTGAAAGAGGGCTACCAGTACCTCAGTCCTGATTATATGGCCAGTTTATTGGGGGATAGTGACAGTGAATCTGGAGAAGAACAGATGAATGACATGGAAGTGCGTAGGATTTGGGATAGAGCTGTTTGGTTCTCTGACCTTGAAGAAGATGATGCACAGATCATAAAAACTATGTTCAACATTTCAAAGATTCCCAATAATACCCTAAAGAAGTTTGGAGTCAAGTGCTACTTTCCTACCAAAAGTCTTGTATTCTCTTGGAATAGTCCTAGGGACTCAAGCTTAAAGGGTTTGAAATTGTTGTCCGCTGAATGTCGAGATCAATGTGTCCATTACATTGAAACAACCTACCCAAGGCCTGCCCGATATAATAATTTGTTTGGACTTTCAGTAATTGGTAAAAAGGAGACTGAAGTTGTAATCACCAGCAGAGAGGTGGACAGTTTGGCAGTGCACCAAGCCACTGGTGTAACAACAGTGGCCTTGCCCCGTGGAATAACCTGTTTGCCCCCTATTCTCTTGCCCTATCTGGAACAGTTTAAACGCATAACTCTCTGGCTCGGAGATGACCTTCACTCTTGGGAAGCCTCCAAACAGTTTGCTCGAAAACTAAACCTTAAGAGATGTTCACTAATACGGTCTGGTGACAAACTGCCTACACCACTGCAGGCATTTAATGAAGGCTTAAACTTAAATAAACTCCTTAAAACCGCTTTTCCGGCAAACCACAAATCTATCATTTCTTTTCGTCAACTAAGGGAGGAAGTATTTGGTCAGCTGGAGAATGTTGACCAGATTTCAGGGGTCAAATGGGCTAGATTCCCTGAATTAAATAAACTACTTAAAGGCCACCGTAAAGGGGAACTGACCATATTTACAGGTATATATGTAGGTTTATAATGTGTGTTTTCTTACACTCGCATCCAGGGTCTGTTAAGACAATTTAAAGTAAAAAATAATTATAATTCTTTATATTAAATTAAAAGTTGCATATGCACATACTGAATATCTCTACTGGAGAAAATGCTAATCTTACATGCAAAGAGTACTTGTCCATTAGATGCCAAAGTATGCACCCATGACTTTATGGGGTGGAGAAGTTGCTGCAACACTGAAAGGTACACAGCCATTAGAGGCAGTCTTAACCCTGCAATGTGAGAAATTGCATGGATAAAGGGACCACTTTAAGTGCAGTGAGGGTAAGTACTTTGCAGCATTAATCAGCCCAGTAAATGCTGAAAAAGTATACTGGAGTGAAGGATCAAGGAACCTCCACTTCTCAGGTGATGGTTCTCCTTTAACACCTTAAGGACCAAACTTCTGAAATAAAAGGGAATCATGTCATGTGTACTTAAGGGGTTAAACTTGTCCAAAGCAAAAAAAAAAAAATTAATCTGTTACATGTGTTAAAAACAGGGTTCCCTGTTGCTCGTACTAAAATACTAGCCTGATTTGAAAATTCCTTTCCAAGGGGGCTTTTTAATCCTTGTTTAAAGGACCACTCTAGGCACCCAGACCACTTCAGCTTAATGAAGTGGTCTGGGTGCCAGGTCCAGCTAGGGTTAACCCATTGTTTTATAAACATAGCAGTTTCAGAGAAACTGCTATGTTTATCAATGGGTTAAGCCTTCCCCCCCCCAAAGCCTCTAGCGGCTGTCTCATTGACAGCCGCTAGAGGCGCTTGCGTGCTTCTCACTGTGATTTTCACAGTGAGAGCACGCCAGCGTCCATAGGAAAGCATTGATAATGATTTCCTATGCGACCGGCTGAATACGCGTGCAGCTCTTGCTGCGCATGCGCATTCAGCCGACAGGGCGGAGAGGAGGCAGAGAGCTCCCCGCCCAGCACTGGAAAAAGGTAAGTTTTTACCCCTTTCCCCCTTCCAGAGCCGGGCGGGAGGGGGTCCCTGAGGGACACCCTCAGGGCACTATAGTGCCAGGAAAACGAGTATGTTTTCCTGGCACTATAGTGGTCCTTTAAAAACTTCAATATGTCAACTGCAGATAGAGTGAGTGGGGACTGTCCAGGCTAGGTACACCATTCGAAGCAGCACTCTGGATTAATTCAGTGTTGTATTTTGCTACTGTCCTAATTTTAGAGTGTGAGAGTATTTTGTATATAAAGTTACTATTAATGGTGTATGCATTCTCACTGGTGCTTTATCTTAGAGCCAATTTACTGAGGAAGGGTTAGGAACTAGAGCTACATTGTTTTTCTTCTATTTTGGTCGTGCATTCTGCATTACATTATTAATAGCTTTTATATGAGAGACAAAGCTAATAAACTAAACATTCTAGGTTTTGTAGGATGAATCCTTGTTACAGGCCAATTAAAAAGAACACAAAGTACACCAGTAAATGTAATTGTTGATATATTTGCCTTTAACCACTAGATGGCATATTTACTGTGATCACTATGTGAAATATGCATGTTTGCTGTAGCAGTTCTTTGAACTGTAAACTGTCATATTACAGAATCCAAAGCAAAATAGTCACCAATTGTATCATGATTTATATGTGGGTCATTTTTATATAATTCAGTCAATGAAATGATGATTCTCTAATTATTAATCTATCCTAGTGTGACACACTCTTGATACATTCTCTAAATAAGAAGCTTAAAATACATTCTGACATGACAGCTGCAAATGCACAGAGAGGGCACAGTATAATTTCCCTATGATCATCTTCTACAAGGAAATAAAGCCATTATACTTGGTTTGTTCATTTTATTAACCCCTTAGTGACCACAACGCTTTTCAATTTTCTTACCATTAAAGGAACACTATAGTCACCTAAATTACTTTAGCTAAATAAAGCAGTTTTAGTGTATAGATCATTCCCCTGCAATTTCACTGCTCGATTCACTGTCATTTAGGAGTTAAATCACTTAGTTTCTGTTTATGCAGCCCTAGCCACACCTCCCCTGGCTATGATTGACAGAGCCTGCATGAAAAAAAAAAAACTGGTTTCACTTTCAAACAGATTAAATTTACCTTAATTGTATCTCAATCTCTAAATTGAACTTTAATCACATACAGGAGGCTCTTGCAGGGTCTAGCAAGCTATTAACATAGCAGGGGATAAGAAAATCTTAATTAAACAGAACTTGCCTAAATAGGGCTCTCTTTACAGGAAGTGTTTATGGAAGGCTGTGCAAGTCACATGCAGGGAGGTGTGACTAGGGTTCATAAACAAAGGGATTTAACTCCTAAATGCAGAGGATTGAGCAGTGAAAAATTATAAAATATGATGAAAAAATGTTTTTTAAAAAAGCACTCTGTCGAAACTTTGACCCCCAAAATCTGTTGCGCATCTACAACTGCCAAAAAACACCCATGCTAAATAGTTTCTAAATTTTGTCCTGAGTTTAGAAATACCCAAATGTTAACATGTTCTTAGCTTTTTTGGGAAAGTTATAGGGCTATAAGTACAAGAAGCACTTTGCTATTTTCAAACCATTTTATTTCTAAATTAACGCAAATTACATTGTAATACTGATATGTCAGGAATCCCTTAGTAACCCTTCACATGTATATATTTTTTAAAAGAAGACAACATAAGGTATTAAACTTGGGGTATTTTGACTCTTTTCATGCAACCATTTTACCACCAATCAATGCCAAATTTAAAAAAATTAATTTATAATTGATTTTTTTTTTTTTTGACACATAGTAATTTAAGAATACATGTACTGAGAACTTTAAGAGTTACTGCCAATAAACACCCCAATATGTGTTTAGCAACATTTCCTGAGTACAGTGATACCACCCATGTATAGGTGTGTCGGGTTCTCTGGGGGCTAAAATACCTTATTTGGAGGGTGCACATTCCAGTTTTCCAACTTGGAATTTTTACAGCTGGTCATCATGCACCCATGTCCTATTTGGGACATTTTTGAAGCCCACCAATGTAATTTACCCCCATCAAACCATATATTCTTGAAAAGGTATTAAATATGGGGTATGTCCAGTCTTTTTTAGTAGTCTCAAACACTGGCCAAAG